AGCAGAGTAGTAATTAATTACAAGCGTTCTAGATTATAAAGATAAATTACAATGTTATCCTGATAGCAACCAGTTCAAATACCTTTGACAATTAAATCTCTATGAAAATTTTCTTATTGCTTTCAGGTGACGGATTTCTTGTTCTGACTATTATCCCACGTATACCTGCTGCAATCCTCATAAATTCCTGCTGCAATCCTCATAATTGCACAAGCAATCTAGTGAAATAAAGTTGCAAATAAGACTTAAATAATTAATCTTTTTTTACTACCGTAATTGTGCGCTTTTACCATAAATGTGCAGGTATTTTTCTTGGCTTCAATTTGCGATTACGTAACAATATAGCAGTTGTTTGGATAGTTAGGTTTTGCCATTTTGAGCAGCTAATTTTAAGTATGAGGTTTTGTATTCTGTATTTGAAATTTTGCAAAACCACCTGAAATTTTGCAATGCCAATAATTCCTGAGAACGTTTACGTTAAAGGGGAAACAAATCATTCTGCAGTGGGTGACTGGCCATTGTGGCCTTTGCGGCAATAAATAAGTGGACTTTCTTACAAAAAGAAGTACCAGCTTACTGCAGCATTTTTATACAGCCATTTCTTATTGGAGGATTAAACTGCTTTCAAAAACGTTATTTACATAAAATATCTTACTGGATCTTCAGATTCGTACCACCTTAAAAAGTTCGAGGAGTTTAAGGCCTTCTCTCTAAGATGCAATGCAGTTGTGGCATTTTTGTCTACAGAACATGATTGTCTTGCTGCCCACCTGCACAGTATAGGCCTTTCAACCTATTTGTGATTCTGGAGAAGAAATAGACAGGGGTCATGTGTTCTGGTGTGAGCGTTTCGTGGTCTTACAGATGAGTCAGGGTACTGGGGGAGGCAAGAACGTTTTTTAAGGCAATGATTTCGGTCATTTTGTTCTTAGTTCTGTTGTATGTAACCTTTGTTTATAATAATTTAGTTCTTTGCAGCATTTTGCCTTTCCATCGAAAATAAAAAAAAATATTCTAATTCTTTAATTACTGGGGATTCATTCTATAAGTTGTCGACCTATCGTAACACCTTAGGCTAAAATTGTCTCAAGTATTAAACTGAAATCTACATACCAAGAATTACATATCTATATACCTAAAATCTACATACCACATATTGCAGTTTCCAGTTAATCTTATAATTTTTATATCTTTCATAAGATATGTTTTTAACTTTTTAAAATTTTATTGGTAAATTTTTACGGACTTCAGACTGTAATCTAGAGTTTTCAAATTGAATTTACATGAAGAGGTAAACTATAAACAGAAAATAATTCCGTATAAAAGAGATTGCATAAAGAAAAAGAAAAGCGAAAAAAGCATTAAAGGAAAATCAAAGAAAACGTTGCATGGAAAAAGGAAACAGAGTTTCTTCAACGTTTCCGTTACAGAATTCATAGACAAAAGCATTTCTCATGTTAAGTGGGTAATTAAAATTCAAATTAAAACTTAAATGTGGAAAAGAAGGGAGAACTAGCAATTTAATGACTGCCTTAAATGAAGGTAAAGTGAAGGCAGAATGCAAGCTGAGTTAAGACGTCCAGGCAGTTAATTTTATGAGAATATCCTAATGCAGGACTTGAAAATAAAAGCAAATTTCATGCTAAATATTCACAAACTCTCATGAAATGTAGAAATGCTTTACTCTGTACAGTATCATATTCTTTTGGAAATTTAATAAAGTGTTTCAAAATTGTTAAATGGAAATTAAATTAGAGGCACTCTTACTAAAAGTGGTTTATTAAAATAATGTTTCGTTTTAAGTCTAGAAAATCATTAGATTAGCGAGTTAATGAAACGTTACGCTTACGGGTATGTGGAAAAGTATCTTAATTGAAAATGAATAAAAAATCGTTATTAAGCGACAAGAATGAGAAATTATTACATGAAATGAATATTCTGATTAAATCGCTGATTAAATCTAGATATTTTGGTGATACAAAAGTAATAAATGCAACCAAAAATCTCTCGCATAAAACTTCAATATTGTATTTAATGTTCATTTTATTCAAAGGGTAATTAAACTGCACATTTGTGAGGGATAGGAAATTTTTTTAGTTGGAAAGTTTAGAAGTAACATTATCTCATTTTTTTAAAATTTAAAGGTAGTTTAAAAGTACTGGGTACAATTGTATGCATAAAGTTATATTTCATTTCGACTTGAAGGCTATTCTCACGTCCATTGTTGTCAGTACACACGTTTCTGAACGACTGATGACTGTGATCTATTCAGCTTAAAGAAGCATTCCAAAATTGGCATCTTCTCCCTTAGACCAGTGCAGTTTATGAAAGTTAGAGCTTTTAGTTTTAGTAACCACCGGTTTAAAAAATATCAAGTCGGCTACTTTTGGAAAATACCAGAAATTTTCCAATGTTCTGGAATCCTCCTTCCTTCACTTACCTTAGTTTATACACAGAAGCCAAGGTCAAAGTTTAGACGTACTTGGTTGGGTAGTGATTTACAAATTCTAACAGACTTACTTATTAGTTACATTGGCGTCTTCGGAAAGAGTTCGTCGATCGTTCTCTGCTGCCTACTAATTATACAGTGATTTCAACGCGTCGAAGCCCTAAATAAATGCTGTGGTAGATCAACATTTACAAGAATGTATCATGGAAGAGTCAGAGTATTTAAAAATCTAAAAGCGTACCTTTTACCACATCAAGCTGTAACTACAAAAATCAAAGACACCAGTAAACTAATTACTGTCTTCGAAGCATCATGAGAAGCTGAAGGCAAACTATCACTGAGTGATTGTTTAGAATCAGACTTTTTTTCATTTGAAACTTATTTTACTACTTTTAAAATGTTGTAAATATGACTTTTGATTTTGGGAAAAATCTATTTGTGGCTCTTATTGACCTGACGTTTGGTTGACCGTAGTATATGCTACTGCGCTGAAATCTAACATTTTTTACATTGAATTCTAACATTTTTACATTCCGCAGGAAAGAAAATCAATTGTAACAATGAATGTGCACACATCGAACAAAAGATACTCAACTACTTTTTAAATATTTTCAATATTTATATGGCTGCTTAACGAAAAATAAAAGAAACATTTACAATTCTTTAAAGAAAAAAAAAAGAATTATATCAAGTCGTAAATTCCTTTTATAAAGCAAGTGAACTTTATTTATTGGCATTATTATCGTCCTAATATATGTTATTCTTGTTGCTGCCAGATTAGACTGCCAGACAATAACATTTAAAACGCTTTTTATACATTAAGAAGGACTGCAATTAACAAAATCACTATTTCCTATTTCAATAGAATGAAGAAGAGTTTGGTTCGTTTATCTGATTATAAGAAAGCACATGAGGGCTATTTGCCTAGAAATAAGGATGTTTTAGTGGAAGACGTCTAAGGGAACTGGTTCATATACACACTGCACATGGAGGAAACCGTGAAAACGCTCTTTCTTCTGGCTAACCCTTTCGTTTGTGCAGTGGCTAATCCGCACCGACGGTGCGAATATCTAAAAGGCTATTCACACCACGTACGTTCGTGCATGCGCACAAACAGCTCAAGTTCCAGCATTTTACGCCGATTTCCGTAAGGCAGGAGGTAGCGAGAGCGAAGGTTGTTAATACTAACTCTAATAGAAGGGTTGTTAATAGTTCACAAGCAAAAGAATAATGTGCAAGTAATAATTATCAGTTACAAAGACGAGATCAATCTATATATATGATAATATTCAGGAAATGATTAGATAAAATAGGGATTTAATTATGGTTCTAATTGCAAGCGAGGATGTATAATTAGTTAAAAATCTTTAATGTATTGACAAAAAGGCTACAGAAATTACTTAAACTCTTTTATTTAACTGAGGAATTTTTATGCAAACTTAGACCCTTGTCTTATAGGACTGTTAGAATTTATTATTCAATAAGAAAACTTACTGAACATTATAATATTCTTATATATTCATCACTTTTTCTGTATCCACACATGTTTATAGGTTCAAATGCCATATTTCAAAATCAAAGGTATTTATGAAATAAAACCTTATAAAATCTGATCAATCATTTGTGTGTGCAAATTTTTAAATCTAAATCTCTTACACTAAATTATTTCTGTCTTTTAAATTACATACCATTATTTATTTCAATTTAATTTATTAATGTGGATTTACCGATATTTCAAACTTCTTTGAAATACTTTTTGTGTCCTGAAAATGCGAAATATTTCCATAAAAAAGTAAACAGGCATACAAAATAGATAATAACCAGTATTATATGATTAATTATTCATTTAATAGCTTTTAACTTATTTCATGTCTAAATTTTCTATACAGAAATCTTCTGTCTAATTTTTATTATCTTTTCTCAGACAATTTTCAGAGGATATGAATTAAAGTCTTGATTGTGCAAAACGCATATTTAAAGCTAAATGTATTCTAAGAAGTACAAAAAATGTAAACAAGATTTTGTCCCCCCCCCAAATCAGTCATTTAAACTATTCCAACCATTCAGGAAAACGATAAACATTGTGAACATAAAAATCTGCCCCTTTTTATATATACTTTAATAAAATTAAACGTGTTCCTTCTTTTAATATATAAAAGAAAAGGAACCCATTTACCTTTCTAAACTTTTTGAAAGTCGCCAACGCTTAAAAGATGATAAACTACGCCAAGGTAGTAACTCGCCTTTTAAAAATAAGATTCACTACAACACTTAGGCTGTTCTTTTCGATTGGGTTCAAATGACGGTTCCGACAACTGAATGTGCATGTGTGGTTAATGTTGGTGCGAATAGCTCAAGCGGATAATCGCACCGCTGGTGCGAATAGCATCGGCCTTTCGTTTGGAAACGATTACAGATTAAACTACAAGTGTTCAGCGACTTCACCGCTCGACCGCTGATTGGCGGAAGGGTGAAAACATTTGGATAGTAGATATGGTTACTGCAGTCTATACAGCTTCAGCTCCATGCCAAGGTTCCTTTATCGTACCAAATGGCGAGTGTTGTTTTTCAATTGATTAGAGATCTGGAAAATGTGCTAGCCAAAGCAGGAGCCAGTGTCCTAAGGCACAGGCAACACTGTCATGTTGAATATAAGGGTCACGTATGTTAAGTCCCTCTGAAGCCAGATGGCGCTTCCATCGTTACTGTTTACAAAAAGAATGTTAATTACTTTGGAGTTGGCTTCAATGGCGAAGCAGAGAGTGATTGTGGAAGCCTGAGCGTCTCTCAAAAATTAGTATAATAAAGATAAAGATATGTTACAAAGTAGTTTGAAAATTAGTTTAATTGAGAGTTACAGTCCATTTAAAAATCGCCGGACCATTTGAGTGGTCCAGTAGAGCCGCAGAGATATCAGCTAAATAAATAATCTAGTGTAAAACAGTGAGTTTGCCATTTTGTTTCAATGGAATTTGTGTTTGTGGATTATAGCCAGTTGCTGAAAGAAAGGGGTAAGTAAAAAACCCTTGAAACTATATTCATTATTAACTGTTGCATTTAGTAAATTCTGAATTAAGTTTGTGTGATAATTTGTTATTGATAAGTGTAGTGAAAATGGCTACGAAACTGAAAGATGTTCTCACTAAAAAGAGAACTCAAAAAACTATCTTATCGAAGTTGCAAAAGAAACTTTGTGAGCCAGATTTATGTGTTAGTGATTTAGAATTTTTAAAAACTAAATTTAACAATCTGCAAAATGAATTCGATAATATTTTTGATTCTATTATCAATTTAAGTAGTGAAGAAAATATCGAAAAAATCTTCAGTGAGCAAGATGAAATCAATAGTAGTATTATTGATATAGAATTTGAAATAAATAATAGATTGTCGAACGTTTGTTAAAGAAAATAAAGTAGAAAAATGCAGTAAATTCTGAAAATACTGTTGTGCGTTTACCTAAGATTTCGTTACCGACATTTTCAGGAGAAATGCATTCTTGGCTTTCCTTTAAGGACATTTTTAAAGCGAGTATTGATCAAAACCCAAATTTATCAGATGCTGTAAAATTGCAATATTTGAAATCAGCACTGAAAGGAGATACTTTTAGAATTATCCAAACGATAGCTATAACGGATAATAATTATAAGTTAGCGTGGTCTCTTCTTGAAGAAAGGTACTCGAATCCTAGAGAACAAGTGTATGCTCATCTTAAAAGATTTATGAGTATTCCCGTTATTCAAAACGAGTCAGCTTCTGCGATTCTAAATTTAATTGATGTTACAGGTGAAGTTGTAAGATCGTTAGAATGTTTAGAACAAAAGTTAGATGGGGTTTCATCCGCTATATTTGCCTTTATTCTTAGCCAGAAACTTGATCAGAATACTAAGTTATGGTGGGAAAGGAATTTAAAGAAAGAAAAAAAAATACCGAACATTACAGAGTTATTAGAATTTCTAAAGGATCACGCGAGGACATTAAACGCTTCTAGAATTCCAGTAATGTCTAAATCAAAAAGCTTCAGTAAGTCAATCAAAGGTTTCTTCAATGGTTTCATGTGTGACTGAAAACGTGCTTTAAAATTTGCCCTTCAAAACTCTTGTAGGCTTAGCAGAAAAAAGCAAAAAGCAAAGTATTCGTTACTGTGTTATGAGCGAGAAAAATTTTCGATTTCCCAAAATAGAGAGAGAAATCGCCTCTCTGTCGGATCAAAAGTCAGACGCCAGTTCGTCTACGGAAGTAGCAAAGCCATTTATAAATAAGGATAGCGAGTGTTTTATGACAGCTAATGTAAATAAAAATTTTAATGCAGTTAATAGAGTCCTACTATCGACAGCGATTTGAAATAAATAGGGAAATATTTCCAGCCAGAACATTGCTTGACAGTGGAAGTATGATTCATCTTGTTCATCGGAATTAGCTGAGAAGCTTCATTTGCAAAGAGAAAATGTAAACATATCAGTATGTTTATCTGGGATTTCAACAACGGTGAAATCAAAAATAAGTGCGGTTATTTTAAATAGAGGAAACACATACACTCGTAAACTAGATTTTTTCGTAATTCCGAAAATTACTCATTTGATGCCTTCTAGACAAATTGATGTCTGTAATATTGAGATTCCACAAGGAGTTACGTTAGCTGATCCAGACTTTCACAAACCGGGTAAAATTCAGTTACTTTTAGGATCTGAAATATTTTTCGATTTGATAAGATCCGGGCAAATTTATGTACCAAATACAAATTTAGGGTTACAAAACTCAGCATTTGGGTATTTGGTAAGCGGTAGCATTGAAGATTTGACCACATGAGAAACAAATTAGTTTGATGTCATTGTTGGGTTCAACGTTTCCTGATGAGAAAAGAGCACATGAAAATATATTATACCTGAAATATAGAGAAACTTTAGGAGAGTAGTACCTAAATCAAGGGATAATAGAAAGAGTATTAGATTCTACGAAAAAGCCAGTAAAAGCCAGTTTTTTTATATGCCGCATCAGGAAGTTTATAGAGAAGAAAGCATTACAACAAAATGCGTATTGTATTTGATGCGAGCTCACATGAAATAGGTAGTCTGTCCCTGAATGATTGTTTGTGGCCAGGTAATAATCTGAATCAAAATATATTTCAGACTTGCTGATATATTTTAGACTTAATAGAGTTGCAATCTTAGAGATATCGAAAAGGCATTTTTACAGATCGTGTTAGCTGAAAAAGATCGAGATGCAGTTAGATTTTTATTTGTTAAGAATATTGATACACCTTTGCAGAATACCGACGATCAGCTAGAAGTGTATAGATTTAAGCGTGTGCTCTTTGGTGTTAATTCCAGTCCTTTTTTGTTAGCGGCAACTATAAAGCTGCATATCCAAAAGTACAGAAATGTGTATCCCGATACCTTTCAAATTCTTGATACATGCATGTATGTTGATGATCTTGTTACAGGAGCAGATGATGTATCAGAAGCCTTAAAAACTTCAAGGGAAGTAAAGGAAATTATGCGTGGAGCTGGGATGAATTTACGCAAATGGGTGACGAATGATTATCATTTAGCTAAAAAATGGGAAGAAGAAAATTTTGATATTCATCCCCTAAGCTCAAATGAAAGGATACTGAAGATATTAAGAATTCAATCGAACATTCAGGAAGATAGTTTGAGTATAGAGACTTCATGTTTGACGGAAATTTCGAGGAGAAAGAAAAGTACCAAACGCTTAATCCTCCAAACAGCTGGAAAAATATATGATCCTCTTGGACTCATCACACCATTCACTGTTAGAATAAAACTTTTACTACAAAAGCTATGGTTACGTAAATTACCATGGGATGAAGAGCTTCCTTCTGATTTGAACGACGAGTGGTCTCAGTAGTGTAGCGAGCTTTCAGAACTTAGTAACATTAGTGTTCCAAGATTTGCTTTGGATTTATGTGATGAAAATATAGAGATCCATGTTTTATCTGACGTTGTCAGTCAAAAGTTGTATGGTGCAGCCGTTTACGTAAAGGTACAGAATGAAGAAAAAATTTCTGTGAATTTGCTGGCTTCCAAGAGCAGAGTTTCACCTGTCAAAAAAGTTTCCTTGCCTCGACTTGAATTGCTGGGTGCACTGATTGCTGCAAGATTGGGAACGGAAGTTAAAAAAGTTTTAGATCGTAAAGATTCATCTAATATCTTTTTTTGGAGTGATTCTAAAGTTACACTGTATTGGATCAAAGGATCAAGCAGGAGATGGAAGTCTTTCGTTCAAAATCGCGTCGACGAGATTCAGAAGTTGACTAATCCAGATTCATGGTTTTATTGTTCAACCAAAGACAATCCAGCCGATCTTCTAACGCGTGGAGTTAGTTCCTCTTCTCTAGTGAACAATTCTAAGTGGTGGACTTGTGCAGAATTTTTTACAGAGCCGCATCTTCCCTACAAGTGCTTACAACCAATAGTTCCAGAGGTTGAGAACCTAACACCAAATGAAAGGGAGTCCTTTGTGCAAGAAAGCAAAAGTTCTAGTGACATTAATGACATTTCTGAGAGAACTATGTTGATTGACATGAACTCTAACGTTTTAGACGAACTCTTGAATATTAGTAACAATTATTATAGAATAATTAATAATTTGTTTTCTTCTTATATTTTTAGATTTATTTGTAATTGCAGGAATGGTGAATCAAGAAAGGTAGGCCCTCTTCAACTAGAGGAGGTAAGAATAGCTGAGGAAATGCTTATTAAGCATGAGCAGAAGGTTCTATTTTGTAAAAAGGACATAACAGGTAACTTAAAAAAATTTACATCCCTTTGTTGATCGTAAAGGAATAATTCGCGTTGGTGGCCGTCTTGAAAAAGCTTCTTTACCATTTTCTCAGAAAATATCCTGCAATCCTACCAAAAAATTCTAAGCTATGTAAGATTTATTTTTCTAGTGTGCACAGAAGATTATTGCATGTTGGCCCCCAAGGATTATTGAATGCAGTACGTTTAAAATTTTGGCCATTAGGTGGTAGAGATTTGGCGCGAAAAACAGTACATCTTTGTGTGACGTGCTTTAAATGCAAACCGATTTTGTCTTCACAGATTATGGGCAATTTGCCATACGAGAGAGTTAATAGATCACCCCCATTTAGTGTTTCAGGTTTGGATCTATGCGGTCCCTTTTATGTGACTTACAAGCATCAGAGAAAGGGCGTGCTAAATAAAATTTACATTTGTGTATGTATATGTTTTGTGACACGAGCTATTCATCTTGAGCCTTTGTCAGATTTAACTTCTAGTGCTTTAATTGCCACTCTTAAGCGTTTCATGGCCAGATGTGGCAAAATATTCACTGATAATGCCCCTAATTTTGTAGGAGCAAATTCTCTGTTGAAGAAATTTTACAATGTAATTAATTTTCCTGATAAAACTTTGGCCTCATATTTCACGTCCGAAAGAATAGACTGGAACTTTATACCTCCCAAGTCTCCTCATTTCGGAGGGCTATGGGAAGCCGGTGTAAAGTTCGTAAAGTATCATTTAAAGAGAACGATAGGAGATTTGCGTTTTACATATGAGGAGTTTGAAACCATAACTGTGCAGGTAGAGGGAATACTAAATTCGAGACCTCTTACACCTATTTCCAATGATTTTGATTGTTATGACGTTTTGACCCCAGGTCATTTTTTAATAGGGAGATCAATACAGACGATTCCGGAGCCAATGATAATAGACGTAAATGAAAATCGGTTAAGCCGGTGGCAGAGAATAACGAAATTAGTTCAAATTATTTGGAAGAAATGGTCAAATGACTATTTAGGAACTCTGCAGCAGAGAAACAAGTGGATGATAGAGAAGGACAATATTTCTGTTGGTACTATGGTACTCGTCAAGGAGGATTATCTGCCAATTTGCAAATGGATATTAGGTCGGGTTATTAAAGTCTATCATGGATCTGACAATAAAGTAAGAACGGTTAAAATCAAAACAAAATCAGGAGAATTAAAAAGAGCGATAACAAAGATCGCCGTTCTTCCGATAGAAAACTGAAATGATATTTTTGCATATGTATTGTATTGTTATAATATTGTAATAGCTGTAGTTATAGTAATAGTATATTATGTTGTTTATAAGTATATTAACTTTGTTAAGAATGTTTGTATAATTTCTTGAAATTTTGTAATTTCAATCCGGGGGAGTGTTAAGTCCCTCTGAAGCCAGATGGCGCTGCCATCGTTACTGTTTACAAAAAGAATGTTAATTACTTTGGAGTTGGCTTCAATGGCGAAGCAGAGAGTGATTGTGGGAGCCTGAGCGTCTCTCAAAAATTAGTATAATAAAGATAAAGATATGTTACAAAGTAGTTTGAAAATTAGTTTAATTGAGAGTTACAGTCCATTTAAAAATCGCCGGACCAACGTAGACTCCAAAGGTACGATACAGGGAGGGCATTAACATTTTATTAACGTAATGTTGGTTAGCCAAAGTACCAGATATGCAAGTCCAATGTGAAGGGGATGTGTACCGAAAGGCACTTCATACTGCCAGTCCCGGAGATCGGCTGGTACGGCGATTAATATTTGCAAGCTCCTAATGTTTACTCTCCCCTGCCCCTCTATATAAGTATACGGTTATCACAATGTGAGAAGTCAATCAATCAACAATGACGAGAAGTCTATGATGCCAAAACGAATATGATAAAAATATGTAGGATATTTCTTTCATATGGCTTATTTTTACACGCAGAAGGAACTTATACATAGTATCCATTATACAGAAACATTTTATACATATATAGTATCCATTATACAGAAACATTTTGAATATGGCGAAAAGTGTGCATTTCGATTTGTTTTTTGGAAAGAAGGAAATAGTGTTTTTCTTTTCTTTTTTTTTTTTCTTGTCGAGTAGCTATTAAAACTCAGCCAATAAATATCTACAGAGTAGAATACAGCATTAAGCATTTTAAGAGCCACTCTTTATTTCATAACGTTTCACATGACGCTGTTACTTTAAAACGGTAAAATATTTTGCATCCCATAGAACCATATCTTTAACCCGTTAAATAATGTATAAAATTTTGAAATATGATTATTTCAGATTACGTGTTTTCAAAGGGTGTTGCAGAAATTTAGCATCACGTTGTATATACTACATTCATCACCCACGAAATAAAAATAACATATTTAAAAGAAAAGCATCAGTTTTTCGCCTTGGCTCTCATAAATATCTTCCGAGTAAAGTCTCATAAATATCTTCCGAGTCCATCTTTTAGGATGGCTTCGATTTTTGGAAAGATCTATCTAAAATCGTTAAACTTATCAGAACAGATGTCAGCAAACTTTCTGGGAAGCACTTGCAAATGAGATATTGGAGAAGTAAGCACATTTCTCCTTCGAATTCGGGAAATCTTACGGTCGTTTTCCATCTTGTACTCAAATATTTTGGGTCTCTGTGACGTGCTGTAATCACTATCCTTGTATTTGCCTACTCCAACATTCCTTCATCTATACCTTACTTTAATACATTCATTTTGCTTTCCTCTTTGAGACAAAGAACAAAACATTTGACATTTGCGTGCATTATCCTTAATCGTAATGTTACCTAAATGTAAAATAATTGTACTTATAAGTAATCAAAAATTACAATTCTCAGTTGTAGGATAATGCAAACTGCACGTGTTTCAGCTACAAATTATGTTATGGAAAGAAACAATTAATGTTACTGAAAGGAATAATTAAATTTACAGAATAAAAAGAAGTAGTGATATTTATGAAGGTACCACCACTAAAAACGACACAATGTCGAATGGCTTTAATGTGGATCATAAACTGAACCAAACTGGTGGTAGGTTTAGAGAAGCCAGGTCGAGGATTTAATTAGCGTGATGAAGATTTTAAGTAACGGCTAGCTATGAATAAATATGACTCAGCATTTAATTTAATCGTGGAGGATGAAGTAACTGTAAATTTCGAATATTAAAATAAAAACTGTCGAGAAAGAAAGTGACAATATAGTCACCAATATGAAAAGTACTCAAATTCCGACAACGACGAATGATTTCTTTTACTCAAAACACTAATTGACTAAGCCTAGGACTAAGGAGATTTCAAAGAGTTCTGAACTCTTGAAGAAAAACAAAGAGATTGTCTTATGTGACATAATCAAACTAAAAGTTTTATTTTGCAAAACGTAGTAGAATTAAAGTGAATATTTTCCGTTCACTTTAAATAAATTATAATAAGCAGTTAACAGCTTGTTGAACTAGTCAGTTTTTCGCTTACATATATATTTATTTACTTGGTTACAAAATTGGTTGTATATATTTTGTTTATATATACGGATTGTAATAGGATTGCACAGTGTCTGCATAATATATTTTTCATACTATCTAGTGATCTATCATAGTGAAACTGAAGAATAATAATCACATGATCAAATCAAAGATTTGATTAAGATATTGACTGCCTCAATCAGTGCACACATATTTTAAATAGATTATAATTTTTATAGAATGCTTGCGTTTTGTATGCAGTTCTATATAATCTGCAATGTTAAAATTAAGGAACCGCTATACGATTAAATTATCATCCCGTGCAAGTTTTTCTCTCTGCTAGCTATGACACACTCTCATTAAAATTCCTTGAAAAGAAATGTTTCCCTTTTCATGAGGCATTTCATTAAATTTAAATTAATACTAAACGCTGTCTGTTAAATTTAACATCATCATCTTCATTACCATTACCGCTTTTATTTCAATTATACTTCATTTCTTGATCATCATACTAAATACAGGTAGCATCTTAGACTACCCGTTTTAAAAGTAAAACTCGACCTTAGAGACAATATGACTCCAAATATTTTACATCCAAGGAAATGAAGAGTTGGCTACATCGCGTGGATGACGACGGAAGGCAGATGAACGGCGCAAGACGGATGACAACGAATAAACGACGACGGAAGACTTCTGAGTTTCGATGACATTCAATGGATCTCCAGATGTCCCGACTTAAATGCTCCAGATTTCTCTCTGTGTTGCCACTCGAAGGATAAGCAGTATACAGAAGTGAACTGAAGAATTGAATCAAGGAGAAAACTGAGCATATAACTTCGGATATCATGGCCATATCATACTTAGTGTCTGTAGTCGTGTTGTTCAATATATTGTTAAACAAGGGGGCCATTTAGCAGACATGATGTTTTAAAAATAAGTGCACCACATGCACACGGAGCGCAGCAATAAAGTCGACGTGGCATATATGTAAATGCATAAGAGTAGCAAAAATGATGATATAAAATATTTGAAGTTTCATTATTTCTAGCGTCGAGTACATTACTTTTAAAATCGGTAATAAAAATAATCCACGCTTTACTTTCTTTAAGATTACCTGTTTCAGCTTAGAGTGTATATTGGTGGATTGATTACGTTCACTCCACTCACCAAATGTGAGAGTATTTTGTCTATTATTTGCTTTTCCTATTCCTACCAGATATACTGGAAGTGACCGTTGTAATATTAATTATTATTACGTAAAGTTGCTCAAAAGACTTTTAAATCTCAGATGGCCAGAAGAACAAAACACGTATTCGGAGCTCATTAATTTCCTAGGTTTAAAGTTTCAAGCACTCTTCTTCAGAAAAATTCTGTTTGAAGCGGTAATTAATATTATTTTTTTTCATCTTCTTTTTTCAACTGTTTTAAGTGCTTCATGTGTACTTTCCACTGCTGCTTTGATGAACTTTCATTTTAATTTTAGTAAACCTTTGCGTTTTACCAGTTCATATGTTCCGTACAATCGGTTTCTTAATAATTACCTCACTCTACCTTTTCCTGATATAGGATTATCAGGACTCCCTTACACTCTTGACATTGAAATTGATTATATATATTTAATCTTTTACATATATTTATATTTTTCACGTATTCAGAAAGAGAATAAATCTAGTAAATTCATTATATCATTTATACAATAATCTTTAATTATCACATTAAATTCATATAATGAAATACAAAGCTTGATTTTGAATGTATAACGAATTAAATAGTTTACTTCAGTTTACGTCATTACTCACGTTACAAATTTGTAGGTAAATAATGTTACGAAATTTATATATAAGTAAATAATTTTAGTAAAAGCATGAAATGCTTGAAAGAGTCGGAGCTTTTCCGGAAGAATAAGAATACAGGGGCAAGACTATTTAACATTGAGTAAACAGCTATCTCGCAAAATAGCTAGCGATAATTTTGGAGATAAAATTTAGCCAGCAAATTTGGCAAGACATCGCCAAAAGTCTCCTAACATAGAGACTATTACTGACATTTCTGTTAGGTCCCTCCGTAATTAATTGATACTGTAAGTGAATAACGGTGATTAATCTCTATATATAACTGTAACCGTATCAGGCCCTCATATGCCTTCCAGTAATTTCAAGAAGTAGAAGGTACTAGAGCTTTATCGGCGGCCGGAGGAAAATTTATAAAACAGAAGAGAGTGCCAGTTTCTCAGTTTCTGTTAGTTCAGGGTCGGGCTAGGGAACACTGAGATATCTCCGTGTGAGCTTCGCTATTTAGATGCGCTTTGCGTTGCGTTGCGTTTAATGTTCTTAGTAGTTTGAAGTGTAGTTACTGATTGTGCTGTATGACACTGAGAAGAGTTGTACGTGTATTTTTGTGGAAAGTTCCAGAAATGTGAAGTGTTTCTTTCAGTAAAGTAAATTTATCAAGCTATCCCATATTCTGTGTGCATTTAATCTATTACAAATCGTACGCATGCAAGAGTATTTAATTTAGGCAGCCCAGTACAAGTTATGTGAAAGCAACTGTCAGAAAGTTTAATTTAGGTTAAGTTTTCAAAACAAAGTTGACGTAGGCAACAATTTTAATATGAGCCATGCTGTAAAGTTCAGCATATTATAATTCTCTGCAAGAACAAATTTGAAACAACAAAAATCTAACAAATAATAACAATCTTCTAAGGTAAGCTGAAATCTACTACTTTCACGTACCACGCTTCAACAGCTATAAGCGAAATCAAATTTCCCTCAGAATGTTTTCTAATTATTGAGTACTGTCGATGCCGGTGACTTCTGAATATTTTTTTTCACTTTTGTAGAAGCAACACATTATGCAATTTCACCTCAACGTAATTTATGAATATCGCGCTAAAATAATTAACGAAATTAATGTCGTGAATGTGAAACTCGTGCATTATTTATTCCCATTATTAAAAAACATCAACAGTACTGATATATCTCCGGGTTAGTTTAGCTCTTTAGATGAGCTTTGCATGGCGTTGTAGTTTGAAGTGTAACTACTGATTGTGTTTTGTGATACTGTGAAGAGCTGTACGCGTATTTTTGTGGAAAGCTTCATACTTGTAAAGGTTTCATTTGGTGAAATAAATTTTATCAAGCTATCATCCGTTCTGTGTGCTTCAATCTCTTACGAATTCCCTACGCTCGCAACAGTATTATAAAATCTTCAAATAATTTAACATAGTGGTTCTCAACCTTTTGACTAACGCATACTATCTAAACAAAAATGGAAAAACTTTAATACCCCCACTACATTTTTCAATGATTATTTTTGAGTTTCTCGATAGAAATATTAAAAAAAACATATTTTGCCATTTGCACAACCTATTGGTTATATTAAATGTGCACACATAACAAAATATTAAATTAAAAATTGGTTACCATTTTAATTATAAAAATTTAAGTTATAATACTTTAATTTTAAACTTTAGTGTGAAATTTGGGCCTGCTTGAAAGAGATCAGTTCCTACATGTTTGTCCTTATTTCGCTAACTTTAACCGTAAATTAGTATCCAATTTTAATTTTGTTCTGTATTTCTTTTTCAAATAAAACGTGGAAGGAAATACTTATTCATACAAATACGTTGCGCAAAAAAAGAATAAAAATTTAACAGGTTTATTTAAATCGCCTTTAAATTCTTTTTTTCAGCTCAAAGTTAACAAGTAAGTTATTTTTGAAATCTTTAGTTAGAGTTCAATCAGAGGAAATTTCTATCGATTTTTTTTTCTTCGCGAGATTTTTGAATTTAATAATTAAAAATGCGTTGTTTCTTTGCGCACCACCGGTTGAGAATCGCTGATCTAACAATCAATAGCACTGCGTGCCGCTTTTATTTAAAACATGATAAATAAAAACTTCAATTCTATGACTGAAAAAAATAAACAGTGCATATATTTATTTATTGCTGATATATACTTTCGTTAAAATAGATGTCATCTTTGCTTTATTCCTCCGGTACTAAATTGGGATCTCTATAATTTATATTCAGAATATCAATGAGATGACGTTGGTTCAAAAAATAACGGTTAACAATAATCTGTTAAAATGAAAATGTGAGAAAGATATACGAGAATTCTGAGAATCTTCGTGCAATTTACTATTGAACATTCATTCATTTTATGAATGCAATAACGAATATTTTTGAATTAAAATACTGAAATAGTGTTTCTACAGATCTTTATTTCAATTCACAAAAGCATGGATTACAAAAGATTTGGAAACATCAAAAGTGATAATTATTCACACATATGACAGGCTTCGAAGTTTTATTGAATTGGGAATAAAAGCTAGAGATGAAAAATATGTCATTTTTCACTAAACCATTTTGAAATTTGAATGCAACAGATATTAGCATAAAAGTCATATATGTCATATCATACATTAAGTCACAAAAATAACTTCTTTAATAATTGAATAGAATGAGAATATTCGAGATACCGTTATATTTTATTTATTTTTTCTGTCAATATCTTAGGTAGAGCCTCGGCGAATAAATAATATTTTGCCGGAAGATGGAAATAATTCTTAAATATAAATTACTTTTCGTAAAACTCCACCTTCAAGGGAGAATAAAAAGCAATCCTTGAGTCTGAATTTCCGCCTTTGGAATAAGGAAATAATTTTATTATTTTTATGTTATATCTTTTCTGGGTTGGAAAAGTGAATACGAATTGTTTGCTATTTTTAATGCACTTTATTCAAAAGTCTGCTTTTCTTTTATACTTCATGTACTGAGCTAATTTATTCTTGTTACAAACAATTACTTTTTAAAGTATTCAGTAGAAAATAGCAAAAATAGAAATAAAGAACAAATGAAAGAAGGAAATGAAAATCAATCAACCGACAAATAAAGTACTTTCCAGTTTAATCATTAACTCATTTCTGGGTATATTAAAAATAAATAATACGCTATTTTCAGCGTTCACATTTAATTACTTCTGCTAAAGTACTAAAACATTTGATTCTATGCAGACAATTTACGATAAGTTATTGCTCGTCTTTACGCAATTTTGTATAAGATTAAAAAGAATAAAGAAATTTTATTTTTTATCCAAAGAAGCATGGCAGTCTGATTTATTTGAATCTTTCGAATTTGAATTAAATAGAATATAATGAGATAAATTTTCATAAGAAAATTTAAATTTTATATATGATGAAATTTCCTTCCTATTACATGAAAACAAAAGTATTTATTCTAAGATCAATTGTTTTTTAATTCTGAAATATACCGAATGTTATAATTAATGAACTAAAACTTTTGGACTTTTCATCCTATGTTGTGGACTTGTGATCCTACGCTTTGGACTTTTAATACTCCATCTGAATTTTAGCTAACCTACAACAATGTGTTCTTCTAGCCGCTCTGACTTAATATAGCTCCTTATGTAAAATTTTACGTAGATTTAGAGAAAATTATTATGCGCTTCCAAGGCATTTAAGAAGGTATCATTTCTCAAGATGACTTGATGGAAAAGTCTTTCTTACTTAAGTCTGGACATAAATTGGAACATTCTGAACATTATATTGCTTGTGATCTTATAAATAAAATAATTATTTATGCGAATTCCTTTCTATTTCCTTATTCCCGTAAATTGGAAGAAAGCGTACGACATTTTAAATGATGGAAAGACAGAATGACCGATGGATACAACCATCCTCCGGCAAATGCTGTAACTGGTAAGCATATGGACATTGGTACAGCAGAAGGAATCGCGATTTAAAAATTTTGCAACTGTATGTCGATAATCACCATTAATATATAATATCTGTGATTCGAATTAGTCTTTGTTTTATTATATATTAAATTCCTAACAGTATTGTAGAAACTTTTTCTCAATTAATAAAATTACCTTTTCTTATAATACTCTAATTTAAATAACAGAGCGAAACAAAATAACCTAATAATAAAATAAGATAAAGAGATGACTAGCCAAGTTAAAGCAAACATATTTACTTTTCTAAATAAATATCAAATTTCAGTATATAAATTTCACAAACACATACACAAATTAAGTTGAGCATATATATAATTATTTATTCATACACATATTAGTTCTGACAACAATTATATATATATAGATATACTAATTTATGACAGAATAGTAAACGATACATTACGAAAGAAGAATGATATATATGAGTTTACGGATTTGAATAATTTAGAGAAAACCTTATGCAAGTTCAAAGAAAGTCATTAATATTCATTCATATATGTTTTTATAATGCAATATTTCAAGACTTTTAGTATTTAATAGAACTGCATTGATAGAATGAAACTTGTTTTGATTATTTATGTTTTTAAAGTTTCAATGAATAGTATCAATCATTGAGATAATCAATTAAAAAAGCGGTTTAAGTAAAATATTCTTACAAGATAAATGTTTATCTGAATAAAAGCTAAACAACTGCGATCATATTAAAAATAATGATTCTAAAGGAGAAACGGTTTTAGATTTTTTTTTGCTAAGAATTACTAAGAACTTCTTTATTTAAATTTATAGTACAAATATTATTAATGATAGCCAGAGATAAGGGGAAAGAACTCGAATTCTTTGGATTGAAAACATATAAACTGTTATGTAAAGTTAGTTCGATCGAAAAGAATCTTAGGAAAGCCAAAGGAAGCTTTTTATCATTTTAATCATCATAGGAAGTTTTTCTGCCTTTTCCCATTCATCTCTGCAAAACTTTTGGGCATCTTTCTCATAACTACAGCAACGTATATCTCAGTTCATGGTCAAAGCTGGTGAGTGAATGTCTTATTTAGCCCACAAAATGTCGTGCAACACCAAACATCTAATTAACATTAACCATGCAAAAATATTAAGATATCATTCAACTGGAAACTGGATAACGGGCACTGTACTTTGTGTATCAAGGATGTAAACCAAATATTCTGTCTTAGTACAGTTTAGATCTTTAATTTCTCGACTTTACTTTTACTTCAGATTGGCAGATTTATGCTCATAAAAATATTATTTAATTTAATGCTAAAGGTTAAAGGTTCTTCTACTTTTGCTTTAAAGGCAAACTGCATCTCGCTTACGCAGACTTATTCAAAATGACTGAGCCGATTCCATGCACATATGGGCGACAATTACGTATTGCCTATTAGTTTAAATCTGATTTACGTATATTGGATGACAAAGAAAATCCACAAATCTTAGAATGCCGCACAAAATCTTAGGTGGTATCATTTCATTGTAACGATTATTCTGTCCTCATGTGAGTTGAAAACGTTTCTGTACATCTTATGATCTATGATAAATACTGATATAATAGAATCGGAGAATAAATTTTTAATCTACCATTCTCAACTTGAAAATTCTACAATTCCTGCTTTTAGATATCCCGTTTTCTAGATTTGTACATCACAACATCACATGTAAAAACTATATCAAATTATACTTGTTATAAAAAGAATATACATAAAAAATAAATTTGGAGTTCGCAGACCTCAAACAATTTTAGAATGAAACAAATTCCAGTTTAAAAATTATTTAAATTTATATGCATAAAATTGAGATAACGAGCACTTACATATTGCTGTAATTTAAATACATAAGATGGAGAAAACAATTTTTTCTGAAGTCATAATGAACACTTTGGTCGCTGTGTTATATCATCTAGCTATATACCTTAATTTCATCGCCTCTGCATATATAGTCACCAGAACAATCTCATGAATAGTTTTCGTCTAAGTGAGAAAATCGTTGATCAAGGGCTTGGGGCACCTGACCGATGAATGTATGATTTTGCCCAGCTTTATTCCAATTTTAACTGAGCACACTCAGAGAATAGAATAGTCCGCTGTTGCCTTATATCAGCTTTTTTCTAATAGACACAGTCTGATGAATTTTGAAGTCCTTCAAGCCCGTAGGACAAAGTATTTTCAAGTCATTTAAAACCCTTAAATTCTAAATTTGAATTATTCCTAGTTAAATTTATATCATATATTGTCACTCTGCAGATATATGACTTCTAATTAAAACCATTTAAAATCGGGTCAGCCATTTTGATTATTTCTTGTTTCTTTACAAACAATTAAATAAAATATAATTTATTAATTAAAAACATAACTCTTTGAAAGAACCGCGAAAATATATTATGCAACTATATAGTACTTGTCATTCTACATTTTTACACTTTTGCCTACTTGAATATATTAATTTGAACACTATATATTACATTCCATTCGATAGAATAAAAGCATGTAACAGCAAGCTTAGATACCTTGAGTAATTAGACGGAGAGCGCACTGAACACTATTTAATAATAATAACTAATTTTCATTTTCGGGAAATACTGTTAAGAAATTGGTTTTGCTTGAATAGACAATATACTTTGTATTTAATATACAACAGTATACATAATGTATATGCATATTTATGAAGTAATTATGTACAACGGTAGTTATGAAAATTACCACACACAGTCAAATAGAGAACGGTTATCAATATGTAAAGCACATAAAACATGACAAAATCATATAACACGATTCCATTACTTTGACAGGATTATGTGATAAGAAGATCAAATACGCAAGTGATTTACAGTAGCAAACATTAAATGAAAAATGAAATGGTATAATAATTCTTAAATGTTATTCACTGCTCATGCAAATGATTCCCTTTTTGGTGTGGCTTTCTAAAGTACTCCAAATATACAGCTGAAGATTCTTTTTTTAATAAGAAAACTATGTCTATTTTACACACACAAGAAATATTATAAAGTATTTGTCTACTGTAATCATAAGAATATATAAATCGAGCACCTTAATTATGATCATGCTGAATAATGACAGTTTGTGAATAATAAAAACTTAATTGCGACACTATTTTATGTACATATTCAATTTTTGAGTAAAGATATTCTCAATAAAGATTTTTAAGTTTTCCATACCCCAAATTCACAATAATTTCACAAAATAGTTCCTTTATAGCAAACATTCAGCTTATTTAATACATGGAAATATTTTAATAAATAAATTTTTATATATTTAACGTAATCAAATAAAGAAATTTCACTTTTGTTGTCAAAATTTCAAAATTTTCCTTTAGTTATTTTCATTTTTCTGTTTTCGTTATTAACATATATATTATTCAATCTTCGTCTAATTCACTATCCATATGGAAAACTATATATGTATCAGAAGAAATACGTGAATTTTCTTGCAACATATTTTAACTTTGCCAATTAACTAAATTTTCTGATGCTTCTTAAATCTTTTAAACTTCTTCTTAAGAATTTTGCTTTGACAAATAAATTACCCATATGAAGCAGAAAACGTTAGCAGATAAAGTTTTTTCTATATCAGCCACGTTTAACACAAACGTTTTTAAGATCAAAAATAAACATATGGTTTGTCATTTGATGTTATCACTACAAATATTTGTTTTATAAAACTGTTAACGAATACATAAACTCAAATAATACTGCGAACTTAAGTAATGACTTTTATTATGACATATAAAGTTATACGTGAATTCAAATTACTGACTATTAGTATTGGGAAAAATTATTTCAGATAATCTGCATGAGAAATGATAAAAATAGTGAAAGAAGTTTTAACTGAATAGACAAGAATTAATAAAAATGTAAAGTTTTGCATATTAATCAGCATGGAAAAATCTGTACTCCGCAAAAAAAATTCATTCAAGCTTAACAATCGCATTTGGTCTATTCAGATGCCTTCAAAAATCGAGAAATAATAGCTGAGAATGTAAAAAGTTATCATGTTTAGTCTTAAAAGGCACAAGAGGATAATTATTAAATATTTCATCAAAGACGGTTTTATCAACTGAAACCTTCATTTATGACTAGTTTCCATCGGATGCAGCGAAAACTGGCAAGGAAAATATTATAATAATCACATATCATGCAGTAAACACGCAAAGCAATTTTGTGTTAAAGATGCAAAAAAGGGATGTAAATTAGAAAACAAATTAAACTAAAATGAATAATTTTCTTTTTATATTATAAATAATTAGGAGTTTCGTATTTACGAAATTATTAAACAATAGAGTTATTTTTAACACTGAAACATTATTAGTTAACTGGAAATTACATACATTTTGCCAAAGACGGAACAAATTTGTGTAATAAATTTTAAACAACGTAAAGGCCTAAACATATATAACCAAACAGAAACTAATATGAACATAAACAGTAGAAACATCTCTTAATATTTAAATATTTAGTAAAAGAACATTTATAATAAACGCTGTGCTAAACTAATTAGAGTGGTGATCGTATGCGTGTTCTTCCAAAATGATACGTGAATATAATATATTTCAGTTCATAAACTTCTCTAATATTGTTTGAGAAAAAACACTGTCAAAAGAAAGATCATTTCACGGAGATAAGTTCCAAAAATACAAAATATAGAGTGAACTTATTTCTTCTTTCTGGAAGCGAATGAAATGTTTCAAACTACAAAAGTAGAAAAGGATAAAATATCACAGTGATAATACTTGACTCGGTATAGAGAGAAAATATGACTGGTGTAATTTTATTTAATTCTAACATAAAGATATTATTTAGTACACACAAAACGTCTCAAATATTTCCGTAAGATATAATTTCTCACCCGACAGTTATAGATACTGATATAATAGAATCGTAGAATACGTTTTTAACCTATCATTCTCAACTTGAAAATTCTACAGTTCCTGCTTTTAGATATCCCGTTTTCTAGATTTTGTACATCACAACATCACATGTAAAAACTATATCAAATTATACTTATTATAAAACGAATATACATAAAAAATAAAGAATGTACTTACATTAAAAATAAATTTGGAGTTCGCAGAACTCAAACAATTTTAGAATGAAACAAATCCCAGTTTAAAAATTATTTAAATTTATATGCATAAAATTGAGATTACGAGCACTTACATATTGTAGTAATTTAAATATATAAGATGGAGAAAACAATTTTTTCCTAGAATAATTAATTTAAATTTTTAGATTTGAAAAAAAAAAGAAAGAACTCTGCGTAGAACATTTTTATATTTTAAATCATGTTCTCATATTTTCGAACTCAGTCTCAGTAAGAATCAGAGAAATAGAGTCAGAGTCGTTCCTAGATAGAGTCATCAACATGGCAATTTCATGCGCATTCAAAAGTAGTATTTCTGGGAATTTGATTAAAATAGGAAATGTTAGAACCAAGTTAAAACTTTTATATTGTTTTCAGTGAATATTATTCGCTTTCTCTTTGGAAAGAATGTGAAATTTCGAGAAATGATCTAAGAATAGCGTGTGGAGGAAAGCAGCAAAATATCAAATTTGTAGTTGGTGGTTACATAGGTAAAGAACTATATATGCACAAAACATTTAAATATTTCTCTCAACTCAAAAAATGCAGGTTCGTGTTTTAGCGGGGTGTACAAGATATGTGTAGAAAAACATTCAATATTTCATTTTAAATTATACTGAAAAAACATTTTAGAATACAGCTTAAGACATTGTTCAGTAAATTTACTCACTATGTCTGTTGTTAAGAATTTGATATAAAAAATACGATAAGCTAAGAAATAATAGCTTTGGTAGATTTGCTTTAATAATACTTTTTAAATATTATCACTGAAGTTTTATATTTGTTATTTAATAAAAAATTACTAGCAATAGTCATAATACTTCATTTCAGATATAATAGAGTGTGCCACTAAAAGGTGCAAGCAATTTTAAGCGATCCTTAAATCTTTAATATAAGCAATGAAGAGGTATTTGCATCTTTTAATTACTGTATAGATTAATTATGTTCTAACACATATTCATGACTGATATTTTTACTCGATATGGCATAAGAAACAAACATGTTTTTTTTTAGAAATAGCATTTTATGAATTACATTTTGAATGAGATTTATTTCGCATTTTTGATATGTAATGTTTAAATATTTGTACTGATTCAACTTTATATCTGTACTTGCAGCCGCACCCTTGCCTTACAGTTGTATGTCCAACTTATACTATAATACTGTAATAGTGTCCTTATGTGCTTTCTTTGTTCCATTTCTTCCAATATTTCTTACTTTTTATAATCAAGTCACAAAGAATTTTTTTTTATTTCATTGAAAGGATCCAAAACGTTGATAAGAACCTAACTCTGTGGATCAGCGTTGTCAGTGGCGAAAATAAAAGAAAGAAAGAAAATAACTTAATAATGTAATGACGTTGCGCACTGTTAGGTTTTTAGTATCTATTGTTTATTGAATTGGCTGATTTGAAACAACAATACGCAACACGGTACGTAACATATAACATTGCAGTTTGCAACAGAAGCACAAGTTTTCATCTTGGAAAATCTACATACAATCAGAGGGATTTAAATAAAGTAAATTTTGTGCACCTGTACATTTTCTTAGAGAAAAATTATCTTTCTATAACCTATGTTTTATAACGTGCGCTCTTGTACAGTCCATTAGCTACATTATATGCTAGTCTGTTCCCTGATACTGGCAGAGAACAGCGAAATAACATTACTTTTGGATCAAACATTATGTTAATTCAAAACTGGTTGCATCTTTTGGCATACCTACTACGTTCCTTTAAGATACACGTTTAAAATATTACGTAATCATTCAATCTTGATGTAAAGCTTTCCTTCAAGATGGTGGTTTAGATTCACAAAAATTCCTTTTTAAATTACAGGAGTAGTTAACAGCATCTTAAATTGGATTAAATGGGTATGTATGATAATTCACAAAAATGACCAGATCATTAGAGGAATAAATAATGAAGTAATAAAATTTTTAAAAAATCACATAAATTTTAAAGTTCGGCAGATCTGTCTTGAATCTTCTGTTGTCTGTGAAGCCGTAATTCGAGTACGCTGTAAGGTATGATGGCAATCACTAGAAGTCCAGCCATGATGTAGATCTTTATATCATTCACCAATACTGGACTAAAGCTGAAAGCAGCTGTGAGACCGATGCACTGAGCCATATAATACACTGAGAAAGGAGCTTGCCAGTCGTAAGTGAAGCTTGCTGTCAAATATGCTAAAAATACAAAACAAAGAAATAAATATAATAATATGACCATATAAACGTCAAAAAATTTATTTAGGTTAGCTAGGGTTAGGTTAGCTATAAAATAATATGCCCTAGAAAACTGAAAAATATGATGAAAATAAGTTTGCTATAGCTTCAGCACAGCAAATGTTAAGAAATGAAAGAAATAAATGAGAAGTAAAATAAATGAATAACTATGTATTTTTAAGTACAAAAATGGTTTTTATAAGAAATACATAAATCAATTACAAATGAACAAGCAAAGTCAGAATAACAAACAGACAAAACCGCAAAATTGTCCGGTTATTCACTTACGTTGAGAGGAAAACAGTAATAACCAATCATATTTTAACTGGTAAGAACACAGATCCCGATTTCAAATGCCCGAGAGTTTGATAAAATAAGCGTATAAATAAATAAAGTAGCAAAATTTTGCTCTTTATTCCCTGTAATATTTCACAATGTGACAAACATTTATTAGAAAATCAAAATGAATTATAAAAATTTCCAAACTGACAAAAAATAAATTCCATAACAAAATAAAAACCATTTCTAAAATTAAGTAAAATAAAAGTATAGATTATATAATTTAAAATTTATATTATACAGCAATGTAAATATCCTTATTTTCTTATTTCATTTTCCTTCATTTGAATATTATTTTTACCTGTAACAGTTCACGATATACATTTTCACCAACTTATCGTACGCACACGAAAAGTAAAACGCATTGAATTTAATATATATATATATATATATATACACTACATTCGGTATAATCACTGCTGAATAAATATGTATACGAGATGTTTAAAAAATAATGATAAAAAATTAAATATTCTTAATTTTCATTTTATTTCAAATATACAGGTTATATGTAAACATCGCACAAGAAAAGGGGACAGTTCTCTGTCTCCCGTTCTACTGGACCAATTGACGAAATTTAACTAGCACTTTTTACACCTCGAAAGCTCGACTTAGAATATATATTATATTTATATATAGCATTGTTCTAACGAAGATATTCTGACACAAAATAAAATTTTTTCCATTTTTTAATTTTACGACTCAAAGTGAAACGGGAGATATTGAACAGTCCCATTTTTTGTGCAAGGTGTACATATTTTATATGAATCTATACATATACAGAATGTACATATGAATCATATACAGAATGCTCGAAGAAATGTGATTATGAGCTTTATTTCCTTGGATTGTTATCCTAGATATGTATTTTTAATGTTTCCAGCTACAATATGTTTTAAAATTATACTATAAAATTTTAGAAAAACCATTTTACTCTGTGAATGGGAAGCTTCTGAAATCTGTGTTAAATACAATAGAGCATTTCATAAATTTGGGACTGGAAGTCTATGAAAACATACTGCCTAGACTCTTTAAAACTCTAAAAGTAAAAAAAATTACACTTATTTATGCATTAATTATGCTTCAAGAAGTTTAAAACAAAAACTTTCTTTTCCTTGCAGAATAATACTTAATATCCTCGTCTATGTTCGTATCCTAAAAATTTAATAAGGAATATTCTTTACTATTTAAAACCACCAATCTCCAACATGAGTTGGAAAGTTGTTTTTTAACTGGTCTCTGAAATTTTCCCAATTTTTGATTTTTGTGTTTAATACCCAAAGGAAAAGTACCTACGTCAGGCAATTTACTCTTAACCAACTGCGAAATTTACACGCAAAGATGAAAAACATTTTGTTTTTAATTCTTCAAAAAAGTGATTGCGATATCAAACTGAACTTTCTCCATGTGTAAATATAAACATTTATTTTATGTTTTAGAAATCCTCTCATCCACAGAGTTAAAATTGCTTTCTAAGTTTTTCTAAGTTATTTTGAAGTACATGTATAGAATAATTAATTAAAGAAATAAAGACATAGTTATCATCTTTGAATACCTTCTGATATTTTTTCAGTTCCATTTAAATGAAAAAAATAACATTGATAGCATCAGCTTTAAAATAATAATAACAAAAAAAAAAAAAAAAAAAAAAAAGATTCTAGTTAACAGTCAGAGAAGCTTTCAGAAATATTATAACTTTTTATTTTTTAATAATTAACGCATATTTTATTTGCGTAGCAAATTGACAAATATTGAATTATTGTATATTTTATATTTTCATTACGCAGAGACACACGTATGTTCTCACACTAAATGACTGAATACGAATACAACATATTAGTTCAATCTTTACTCCGAAGAAACTTCCCCATTGTTTTAAGTAAGCTGTTTCATGGATTGTTGTCTTTGTTGCTTTCACACTATATATGCTAAAAAACCAGCTTTACAGGCAAGTCCTAAAAACAATTCAGCGAAAGAGGCAAATTATTTAGTCCTTCAGATTTGTTACATTATAGAGGAATCTTATCAATAATTGAAAAATCTTGAGAACAGTTTTTCAGAATTTCACATGCTTTATATTACTTAAACATTATTCATTTATATATTACGAGTACTATCAGACAACTGGATAAGGCTGCGTTGAACATGGTAATTTGTCCAGTATTCAGTCCAGAAGGACGTATTATTGCTTTATTGAACAGGTCTTTTAGCAAATTTTTCATAAAGGTATTCCTCCTTGTGTGCTTTGTTACCATTAGTTAATCAATCACCATTTGCTCTTTTTACAGTGAAAAATCTATTTAGTTTGTATACATCTGTTTACATTCATGTCCATAAATTAAGGATAATTCGGAGTCACGCGGAAGTCGAACTCTAAAATAAATATATCACCTGTAAAAATCAATCACTACACACATCTTCAGGAATCATATGCAAATTTCAGAAAGTAACCAGATGACACCGATGGTACGTCACAATGACGAGAGTGTAAGAGAGTGATATATAAGGAATACAGGTAAAGAAGTAAAATTGTTCGCAGGCGCTTTATAAGCATTTCAGTGCAAATAACCGAATAGTTATGACACAAAGGACGCATTTGGATGATTTTTTACGTGGTAGAATTATCGGCCGTCTGGACTGTGGGCGTACCCAACTGGAAGTATCAGACGAACTTGGAATTGCCGAGTGTCATCTCCAGGCTTTGGCAACGATTCCAAGATGATGGTAATGTGAGTAGACGTTACAGCACAGGTTGCCTAGAGTTACAACACCGAATGAGGACCGGTATTTGGCAGTTACTGTCAAAAGAAACAGGCGGAACACACCCTCAGACCTGTCTCGTCAGCTCTCTTCAGCCACTGGTACGACAATTTCAAGGCAGACCGTGTACAGACGCATAGGGCAGATTGGTCTATATGCTCGTAGACCTGTCAGATGCGTTCCACTTACTGCAACTCACTGTCGCCTGCGGTTAACCTGGAGTAGAGAGCACGCATTGTGGACACCGCAACAGTGGGCTTGTGTGATGTTTTCCGACGAGTCCAGGTTTAGCTTGCAGTCTGATTCTCGCCGGACTTTCATATGGAGAGCTCCAGGTACCCGTTACCACCAAGAAAACATCATTGAACGACACCGTTACGGTGCAGGAGTGCTCGTTTTAAATGGAATTATTCTGGGTTCCAGAACTGACCTGCATTTTCAAATTGGAACCATGGCAAGCCAAATCTATCGGGACGTCATTCTGGAACAACATGTACGTTTGTTTCGGGGCGCCATGGGCGCACAATTTGTGTTTATGGATGACAATGCCCATTCTCACCGTGCAAACATCGTAAGCGAATGCCTTCAATCGGAGGATATCACCCGTATGGACTGGCCAGCATTCTCACCGGACTTGAATCCAGTAGAGCACGTGTGGGACATGCTTGGCCGACGATTTGCAGCCCGTCAACCTCCTCCTACATGTCTACCGGAACTTCGGAGAGCATTGCTTTTTGAGTGGTGTAATATCCCCGAAGATCAGATCGATAATTTGATACTCAGCATGCCTAGGCGTTGTACGGACTGTATTACATCGTCTGGGAGACATACAATGTATTAACAATCATACAAACCATGTAATATTGGTTTTTTGTAAATAGGTTTTTTTACTTTGCTCCAGGGAGAAAAAATCGCTAATTTTTTTAATAATATCAAACATATAGCATCTTTTTTTGTTCTTTACCTTTTTCTTAATAAATAAGCTTTACAAATAAGTCAAATTTGTTTTGCTTCTAACTCTTCCTTTGCCTGATTTTGCATTATCCTTAATTAATGGACATGAGTGTAGTTTGTAAAACTATTTTTTATAGAATATTAAATAAGTTAAAATTATATTTCCTTTGAAATTCTGAAGAAAAATTTCAAGTAAGTTCCCATTCGACATCATGTGATTATGTTTAATGTTATTGCAATTATTCCAAGGTATAATGAAGTAAATTCTAAAGCTATTTAGTTTGTATACATCTATTACATTCCTAAGCACGAAATTACTAGTTATAAAATTCCTTAATGAATTTTCAAAAAATTATTTTCAGTCTTTAAATAACTAAAAAAAATTCGAAAAACTTATTTTTATTACCAGTAAATATTTTTATAAATATTTTTATATCTTGCTGCTCTCGTTTCATCTTATTTTTAGTAGATAAAGCAGAAAAATCGTTTTGATTTCATACATGCTTCTCCAATTCTAGTGCAAAGTTGTTATTATAAGATAAGCTTTGGATATCTCTGATTTTACGATTTCAATCAAATTTAAAATGAAGACATCATTTAAGACCACTTTCTCTGAAAAACATTCATAATAAATCAAAGTATGTTATGAAACATCAAAATGTATTTTAAATCAGTATATAATTTCTTTAAAGCAAAATAGCTGGATCGTATTTTTCTGGAATTCAAAGAAAACTTTCTTACATAAACAATAGAAAAAAAAAATGTTTAAAATTTAAATATCATTTGGTCATATTCAAATCAAAAACATCACACTGGATCACAGGTAAAAACGTGGCTAATGTGGCGAAACATTGATGTGCTTTATCGTGTTCATTTTCCGCTGTTGAACAATCTTCATGGGATTTTGT